GGCATGTGGTGCTGGGGGATTGAACCGTGGTCCCTGTGTTTTGCTTAAGCTTAGCTTGTTCTAAGTGGGTGCTTTTAGACCACTGAGCCATCTCACCAGCCCCTGCAGTGCATCTTTGTGATAAAAACAAATCTCCAAATAGAGTCCAGTATTTGCTTAGAGTACTTTTTGTCTTTTTTTAAAAAATGTATTTGGTACAGGGTCTCACTGTGTAGCACATACTCCTGTTTTCAGCCTTCCCAGCCCTGGGATTATAGATGTGCACCATCCCATACGGTCTTGGTGGCTAGCTCAGTATGCCTGGGGCGAGGGCTACCACAGCGTGTGAAGCTGGGCATCAAATCCCTGGTCCCTGCACTTGCCTAAGCAGGTGCTTAGTCTGCTAAGCTATCTCGCTGGCCCTACTTTTTGTCTTTAGTCTGAGGGTAAATAGTCCAAATGCTATGTTCAAAAGCATTTTGGAGTTAACTTTTTTTTTCCCACTTTCAGATTTAGTGGTTGTTCACTTGAAATTCAGTCTGGTCATTGGTTTCTTTAGTATTCAATTTTAGGGTTTTCTATTTGTAAAGATTTTGTTTATTTTCTTCCTTCCTCCTTTAATCATTCATTTCCTTTATGTATCTCATTTATGTATGAAATACTAACATGGATCCAAATATACCTGTACAAAAAAAATATATTCAGAAAAGTATTATCCTCCACCCATTCCTTTTATCCTTTCTGCTGAGTTGTCACTCATATTTTATAGATAACAAATCTTATCAGTCTCAAATTTATTTCATCTGTTTTTGTTTTGCACAAATGTTCAAATGTATGTATATTTTCTCATTCTCCTTTTTTTCCTTACATTTATATCTGCAGTGTACTACAGATATTTTTGTGTTTTATTGTTTTATTAGAATAACATATCCAGAAATCTTTTCACATGAGTTCTTAGAGAGCTTTCTCCTTTTTTTATTGTAAGAGTACGTTAGACTGGGTGTGGTGGTGCATGCCTGTAATACCAGATCTTGGGAGGCTGTAAACAGGTGGATCACTTGAGTCCAATCTAGTAGTGAAACTCTGAACACCCTGTAGACCCTTCCCTAAAATACAAAAAATAAAAAATAGTAACGTCATTTTGTTGCTATACCACATTTATTCAGACATTGACATTGGCATTGAAATAGATTTCAGTAACTTGTGATTACAAGCAGCACACTGTAAGCAAGCCTGTGTGTA